TTCATCCATTTATCGATATTTTGGTTCCAGATATCCGATTGTTAGCATATTAGCTCAACCTTCTGTTGAGAAAATCAGAAATCTGGAGTGACTACGTAGCTGAATGGTTGGCATCCTGCCCTTAGGAATTACTTGCCTCAGGCTGACCGATGTCTCAGCATATACGAAACACGTACTGCACTGGGTCTCTTCTGAGCACAATCTTCTTAAGTCGGTCGTATCACGATTGTTTTTTTTTAGCGTTTCGGTCGCTCTGTGTTATTTATCTAAAAAGAAATATTTGATGAGAGACGTTCTATTCTATTTTAAATTTTGATTGGGAGCATGAAAAAGTTTAAAAAAAAGTTTGACGAGACCCGCGAAAGCGCAACTGTTTCTTTTGTTTATGCTGAACACAATTGATCCCTCCTATGCATTCTTGCGTTTTTCAATCTACCGTGTATCTAGAATGTAGATTTAAAAAGAATTGGTTCACGCGAGAAGCGAAAACGTACTTTTGAATTATGACTTTCGTGGGAGTCGCAGACTTGATTGAAACGTTGAATGCAGCCGTCTGACTCGAGTGACCCAGGAACAGAATCTCAATTCTGGAAAAGGGGTACAGGAAATTTTGGTTGGAGGCGTTTTCTCGCAGGGCTCCTTCTCTATCTCTCTTTTTTTCCCCCGTTGTGTGCATTGGACTATGCGAGCAATTTTGCTGTCCAGAGGATGATACGCATCCGGTTCGAAGCCCGAGGATGTGGGCTTGGCCGTGGCCGCGGCTCGGTCACGCCGACCTCTCTTTTCCGCCTGTTTCACTTTCCGTTCGTTTTCCTTCCTCCCGTTCTCTCGCCTTAATCTCGGGCCCTGTACAATTATGATTCTCTCGCGGGTTCTTCTCGTCGGGGCCCCGACGGCGGGAACGCATTTATGTAGGTCGAACCTCACTTTTCGTTTCGCGTTCGATCCGGCACGGATGCCCTACGGGCGAGAGGAGATGGAGAGAGATAGAGAAAGAGAGAGAGAGAGAGAGAGAGAGAGAGAGATAGGAAAAAATGTGCTCGGGAATGTGTCCGCGGCTGTGGTGAGAGAGTCAGTCGCACCGGGCTTGTCTGTCGGTTGTGTCGTGTGTCGAACGATGGGCCGAGGAGTTGTCCGATGGGTTCCGTTGTTTTTTGCTTGTGTATATATAGTTCCGTTTCCATGTCCTCGCTTCCGGTCGTCGAGGTACATGTGTATAGCATTGTGCCCTGTAACAATTGAGGAGGTTTTCAGTCTAATGTACGTGGTACGGGAGATGTTCCCGAACGGAGGCGGGTGCGTTTTTTTTTTTCTTCTTTCGTTCAATGTGTGATATTTTAGTTGAGAAAATTGCTGTAGTTGGTGAGGTTATAGATGGCAGTGGATGAAACCGTAAGAAAACGCTTTACAAAGGAATATGCGATGATTGAAGTGTATTTTACAGCTTGTATACCGTAACATCTGGTCGATATCGCATTCTATTCTATGAATGCTGCAGATTTTTTTTTAAACTGAAGTATATTTACTACTGGTATTATGTGTTTGGACACATTTTCTTGTACAGAGGTGTGTGTCTTCGTCAAACAATGGCATTCTAGTTGAAATAGTGAGTTGTGATGAGATGAAATATGAGAAACATGTTCACATGTACATTATTTTATTAGAAAATTGCTTCGTTCGGTTACTCAAATAATAACGTCGCTTCTTGCGGCTAAAGCTGTTCCTTTTTCGTTTAATTTTCGCTAATTTCTCAATCCATTACATTCCATTAGTTATCGCATGCATTTCGGCACGTCCAGTGCCTGAATTCATTTTTTATAATTATGCTGAATTTGGTATTTGAAATCACGTGAAGATCGTTTCTTTGGCAGACAGGTAAACAGATGCATTTTTAAGGTTTTTTGATTCTTATTCCTCGTTTCGGGAGTTTGTTTCGATTTTTTCTTCATAGAAAAGTTTCCAGCGTTAAGAGAAAGCTGTGATTTCGAGTTGTGAAAGCATCACTTCATGAAGAGTGCTTGTTTTAGCGGCGTGAAGAGAACCCTGCCCGAAGTACGGGCGAGGGGCGCGAGTGCGCCTGCGCATTAATTTTTTACTCTGGGTTTCTTTCCCGCAAAAAAAAGGAACAACCGCGCGATTGAGTGCCTAATCACTGATCCCGACTTTTGATGCGAATTAAGGCAGCGTGAAGCGAAACGTGTGGGTTTTGAGAAAGAGAAAAAGTCATTGGGATTCGTCGCGGACTTGAAGAAGTGCGAGGAGGAAATTGGATCGCGAGCGATAACGGCAAGCAGATGTGTGTGTTTGGTGGAACGGTTGAGACGTGGTTCGGTTCGAGATTTTTTCTCCAGTCTTCTCCGCGGGGGAAATTGCTTTTCCGAGCCAAATAAGGAAAAAAGCATGCTTTGCGTCGAACTTCCTTTCGGCCTTGGGTAAGTTCTTGGTCGTGTTTGCCATTGCTTTACTGCAAATACTGCCGCGTCTGTGAAGTACGTGGCGAAAGTTCCGGGCTTCAGCGCTAAATATTGCAGAAAAACGTATACATTATCGAGGGAGTGGTTCAGTCGTACAGGGCACGGACAGATTTATGTTTGCCAGACTTGACTTAAGTTTGAACGACCTTTTTTCAACCTTCGTTAGTTTTTCAACCGTCAAGGTTGATACTGTATATGTTCGTTGCGTAAGGATTTATTTTTGCTTTCTTCAAAAAAAAAAAAGTCTTTGAAAAAAAGTTCAACCAGTTTTAACCGATCATCAGGATTTGATTTTAGCGAAAATTTGCTTGTCTCGGTTGAATTCCATTTTGTGAGAGGAGTCGCATAAATTTCAAAATTTGTTCCGTATAACAAGGTTCTAAGAAAAAACGTAAGTTTTCGACACTGTGCGTATCGTCGGACAAGTCAAGAGGAAAACCTATTATCCTAGCTTAAAAAGGCGAAATGTTCTTGAAATTTTATGCGGCTAGTGCAGTTCCGAAACATTTCAAATTTACAACGAATAGATGTTTTTCGTTCTGTAAACCAGGCCGACAAAGTCGTGCGTAATTTAAAATGCAAGAGGGTTTCGGGATGAACCGCAAAAGGTGTCGTTCAGTGGTAAATGCCTTCCTGAACTTTTCCTTTTCAAGTGCCTTGTATGCGTGCGGTTGCTTTGATGACGGAAGCCGTTGAAGAATTTCATTTGAAAACAACAATATTTTTCCACGAGTTGATGGACTTTGTTAAGAGTCATGATTTGAACAGTTTCTTCCTTACGTTCATCTGGATTTTTCATTCGGCCTGTGTAAGATTTATGAACATTCTGTATTTCTCAATATTTTAGACTGAATTTTGCTGTCGTACAGCTGTTATTTTGTTTAGGTTTTAAAATACACTCCAGTATCATTTTCGAGGAGTAATCGTAATTGTTTCCCGTTTCCGTGATGAATCGAGTGCAATAAATAAATTTGGTCAGTCTTCTACCGGTTTTTGGCTTTGAATTCCGCGTTTTTGTATAAAAACTGAACCCCCATTGAATGGAATGAATTTTTGTGGTTGCAGAGCTGCCCAGAAAAGTTTTGTATGCCGTGTATATATTTCAATAATTTTTTTTTATCCTTGAAAGCTTTTTCTATGATTTCTTCCGTCTTGCAGCGGAATCTTCGCGCATACAGTATATCCACGAACTTACGCAGGAATTCTGATTCGAAAAGCTGTGCTATCGATAAAGCGTATAGACGAAATTTCCTTTAATTATTCTCCGCAACAGATGCAAAAAATTCATTGTGGGATATTTAATGTGATGCGTTAATAATGAATTTTTGGGCGGGGTTTCCATGGACTCATTTCCATGGGTTTCCATGGACTCATTAAGCTCTGCTTAAATTTAGATATATATATCGTGCAAACGTTGAAATTCATGCAACCATGAATTTGCTGCGTAAAAATATAATTTTTTTATTTATACCGTATTTAAGAGAGGCTTTCCTGAAATTTTTACACTGATTTTTCACCTGAGTCACAGTACCTCGTCACTAGTGCCGTTATTTCAGACTTCCTTTATGAATTTCCTCTCATCGCCAAACTGTGAGATTGCTATTATATGGTACTCCTCATATTATGAGGTGCAAATTTTTTTCGACTTATACTTTATTGTGTCCCTATTTCAGCAGATAGACAGGCATTTCTTATTTTTCTAGGACAGCAATAGGCCGTGGGATAAACTACGCGTTCCTCAGCTAGAAACCGTAACCTGTGTTTCCTTCACTAGCTTACGTGTTTGAGCAAGCCTTATGTTTCGGGTTGTCTAATTTCCCCCTGTTATTCGATCCCCGTGAAAGAAAATTCTGAAAACGCGTCTCAGACCCCATTACAGTGTCCCCGAAAAAAAAATGCGGTATGTGAAGTAGAGTAAGAGCATGTGTCGCAGTCAATTAAACCTTTTCAAAATTTTCTGAGAAAAATATTTTTTCCGAAGTCCCGAGGGTGTGAGTTTCGAGGAAACCTGATGATGCATGCAATAGTGGATTGTTCTTACCTGAAAGGTTTTAAATATATCGTGCCCAGCTTTTGAACTGGACAGTAACGTATTACATTAAATTTGACCTCTTGTTTTGGTTTATCAGAAACATCCGAGCTGTGTTATTTTTTTTCTAAAGGAAAAAGAGGCTTAATTTTTAAAGCAACTGCTCCAAGCTTGGGTATAAATCTCCATCCGTGTACCCCAGACCTTGAAGCACGTCTTTCAGCCAACGTAACCAAGGGACAACAGACGCAACCCTAATCCGCTTCCCCACAGCATGATGAATCCCAACCTCCTCACCAAAAAGGTCTTTGTGATTCGTAGCCTTCAGAGAATTGTGTGGTCTGAGGGTTGTCTTGTGTCAGTGTGTCGGTGGTAACGAAAAAGGGTTGATGTAGTTTTGCCTCGAAGCCTCACAGTGTTTCCCCCGAGAATGAGACGTGTTTTTTCATAAATTATTTCTTTTAAATGAAAGCCCTGCTAGTTAATTTTAGTTTATCATGTTCTGCAATGTTTACTGGGAGTTCGCTGTTCGATTTTCCGGACGACGAAGTTCAGAAGTGACGATTGCTGAAGGGCTGGATTTTCGCCCGAACTCTGAACAACTGTGCGTCAAATTCCTGCAACAATACTTTTTCTCCATCTTTTAAATTAAAATGAAGAATTTGAGTCTTCCTGCGTATTTTTCGCCATTAATGTATATTATGCTGTGTTAATTTCGAGTTTCTTAGTTCTGTGGCTGACTTTGCTAGGAAAGCGGAGCAATTTTTCGCCATTACAGTGGTCTAGAATGGATTTTTTCTCTTGTGAATCATCAGTTTTCCAAGGAAAAAAATTTAGATTTGCTCCAGTTTGGACCGAGTATATGGAAAAAATGAGTCGATTTTCTGTTTGCGGCCAAAATTTTGAAAGGCAGCCGGTTAGCAATGAAAACGGGAAGAAGCGGCCGGGACAACCCCATTGTTTTTTACATGCTCGTTATCTCGACTTGAAAAACGTGGTTTTTTAGATTAATTTTTTAATCTACTATAATTATTTCCGAACAATCTCGCGAATATGAACTTGCAAACAGACTATAAGGTGCCATTTTCATGGTACACGCAGAGTATTTCAAAAGGTGTTGACTCTTTGAATCTTCAAAACTGTATTGGAAGTTTTCTAAAAATTTACTAATCATTTTGAAACCGGAAAAAGTCTTGCGTCTTCATTTGCGCGCGTATTACGAGAGACGTACCTTATTGATTATTTTCTTTACGAAAAGCTCGCTAGTTTCAAAAGTTTGATGTGAAGCATCGTTTACTAAACATATTTTTTCTATTTTTTCTTCTTCCTCACAGTGACCGGTCGTCGAGTCCTCGGTACGTTCACCAAAGACTGCACCGAGCAGTGACCACTGGCTCAACCAACATCAACGGCAGCGTTCGTCGGGCCGGCAGTCAGGGCCGCGGGCCAGCGTCCTGCTCTCCGCCATTGCAGGCCCTGAACCCGGGCCTGGGGCCCACCTTGGCTCGGTACCCGAGCTCGGACTCGTTGCACTCGTATTCATCTGCTGCCACGCTCACTGCCGGTTCTGTGCATTCGGCCAAGTCGTCGCCGAGTCTGTGTCGTGACCCGGCTGTCCGGGAGCATGACAAGTGGGATCCTGTCGGCGAAGAAGACTACATCGAGATGGTATGTCGAATTCCTCTCCTCTTTCTGAAAATGCAGGCAAAAGTGGACTTCTCTCGTGCGAAAATGTTGAAGGGACCCCGAAAGCGAGTAAAAACCTTTAAGGAGAGCATCTGATTGCAGGGAGATGCAATTCGTCTAGAGGAATTCTTCAAAAGTGTTGCTAGTACTGTGCTGTGCCTCGAAATAGTACCCAGATTTTTTTTTTAAATTACCCAAAAGCCACTAACAAGATCAAGGACAAGAATTGAAGAAAACGGCCTGCCCAATTTTTAAGATGCTTCTTTAACGTTGTACTGACGTATACGACTCTTCAGTTAGAATTCTCTGGGCATATTTCGTATTCAGCATAATCAATACAGAATCTGCTGAGATTAAATCAGTCTTTCATGAGAATATTAGGAACTTTCTCACGGAAAATTAAATGATTTGAAATACTGCATTCGTAGTACCTGTTATGCGTTCGTACACAGAACTTGCAAGGGCGTGTCAGACGACCCATATTTTTTCGGTGATCGGGCGCGCTTTCAGTCCCTTTTTTCTTCAATTTCAGTCTGGATAAGAGCAACAATAATAAATAAATTGAACTGATATCAGAAAAAATATTTAGTGTCACATTTACTCAAGTACCCGGGCCGATCATGCTTCATTCTCACCCCATGATTTTTGCGCAGGAAATCGTGAAAAATTATATTAAATGCCGTGATTAATCTTATTTCGCAAAGACAAGCTGCCACATTTTCTTACCAAATTTTTGTAAATTCGTTAAGCGTGGGATTCTACTGAATATGGAGTGATAATTTGTACGAATTACTTCCATCTTTATCCATCCTAACGGAGCCTCAAGAAAATATGCTCAAGGCCGACAGAACTTGTAAGTCAAGTACTGTACCTTTTTATATGAACAGCAGGCGAGTCAGGGCAAAAAATAATACTGAACTGTAGTTGGCTGTAAGTCCTGAGGAAATATTGGTGCATCGAGTCCACCTGTACCGTGTAGATCCCAAATATGGCGTGTCCATAAAAAATACCAGTTCCATGTTCGTGTTTGAGATTTCTGATGGCAGGTTTCTCGTCAAAATTGAACGTTTGCAGTAGATTTAGTTGAGGGACTTGATGCGGACGCATCATCGAAGGTTGTCCAAGAGAAAATTATCAGATCTTCACCGGTTTTCATTAATACTCTCGCTGAAATTTTGTGAACTTGAATGTCGAGTTATTCAGAGGTTGGACCCATTTTCACTCGGTTATTTCCGTTGAAAGAGCAACGAAAAATTTTTAATTAGTGCAATGCTTTTCGAGATTCTTATAAGAAATATAACAATAGAAGGGAGGAGGGTATCTTGGGTGTGCTGGAATGTGTCGGTGACGAATGCGAGGCATTTTATCCCAATTTCATGCGTTGTTTGAGCTCTTTGTTGATCCCCTCTCTTCGAGATAACGAGCATGTAAAAAACAATGGGGTTGTCCCGGCCGCTTCTTCCCGTTTTCATTGCTAACCGGCTGCCTTTCAAAACTTCTTTTGATTCCGCATTTTATTTTCCTGGGGGGCGGGTACAAATCCTTTAACGTAAGTCGTCGGGTGAGACAAAAGTCTCCTGTTGCCACTTGTTGGGTTCTTGGGATGTGGGTGGTATGGTACCCCAGTGGCTACCAATTTGACTAGCCAAAAAAAAAAAAAAAAAAAAAAAACTCTTTGACTCGCGGCCACACAGCGACCTGAAAATCCTGACGAATATGTTTGTCGTTGTTGCTGATGATTTCTATAGACTATACTTGAGTCTATATTCGTAATGTGATTCAAGTTTGGTTTCATGTTTTTTTTCCCTTCGAGGATTTCTCACATGGTTAGAAGTCTCGTTTCTTCCGTTTCCACGTGTGTGTCCGGTTGCATCCGCGTTCAGGTGGGAACGGAATTCCACTGTTAATTATGACCACATTGCTTCCTTTTTTCCTTGCGATCTTATGCTCGAAATCCTGCCTGTATCTTGTCTTCTTCATGGTTAGATGCTACGCAATCGGATTGTTCCTCATTAAGGCGTTCTTTTGTCAAGGGATAGTTTCCCAGGCTGAAGTCGAGTTTGGGTCTTGTCGGTTTTTTTAACCCCCTTCCACCCTGTGTGATGGCACGGAGTTTCCTATCTGATTCACAATCTTTCATTTTTTTTGTTCAACTCCGCCTCATTCTCTTGGTCGTTTAATCCTTGAAGTGCTGAACTGTTTATCACGATAGAATGGAAACTGAAACGTATAACGTGATAAACATTTGAAAAATTTTTGCGAGTGCATTCGAATGAAGTTTTCTGGAGTTCCAAGTTTTTGAGACGAAGTCAATTACACACTGGTGGATTAGCAGAAATAAAGTACTTTTTAACAAGCTTCGGTTCATTCTCATGCATATTTTTGATCGTATTCTTAATGTGGGCTACGTCTTCCTCACCAACTGACATTTTAAGATAATCTTCTGCATCATTAAAAAATATTGTCGAAATCAGTTCCTGTTTCATTGGATCCTGAATTGTTAGATCCGGAACCACTCGCATTTCCTTCAAATTCATAGAATATGCGAGTGTGGCAAAGTTTGAAGCATTGCGAAAAGGGCTGATGCTTGAACAGAAGCATTCGGAATTACGGAAGTAATGTGTCCTCCCAACTTTTAACTCGGTGGATTTTTCGGAATTTATATAAAGAGCATTCCTGACTGGATTCTGCAGACCATATCTTCCTGGTCAAATTTTTCGTCAACCATTGTTCTTCGTGCACCGCCTAATACGGTTTGTGAACACGTTTCATTGGGAGCTAATTAAACCTGGAACTCTGATTTCAAAACCATTTCGCGATGCGAGACTGTCATTAGGTGTTGCGTAAATTGTTGCCCAACTTGATTGTTTGTTTGAGGCATCCATTTTTATTACATTACCCGAATGGTTTGCGTTGACATGCCCCATTTTTTCCGGTCACTGATCATTGTTGCACAAAGGGAAACTTAATGATCAGCACAACTGACAAGGCATTTCGGAAACATGTTGATTTTTTTCAAACCCGACATGATTTGAAGCATTTCGATAGCCTATATTAATAGGGTATTTTCGACATTGCCCACGTTTATCTGAACATTTATAGCTGGTACACAATAACCAATATTTAAGACGATTTTGTGATTTTTAATGCAATTTGTGAGCTGATAAATCAAGTTTCGTTGAAGTTGATTTTTCAGATCTTTATTTTTCTCACTCCCAATGATTTCCTTTGTGAATTAGGGTATTTGGCTATTGTAAAGTTTTGCGGTTTTTATAGAGGCAGTTTCGACTTGAAACGATTGACTTGAAATTCTTAATGGAGAGGAGGAAAATTCTGGGAGGTCTTTTGATAAGGCAAGGAATCAGGGAAAAATGTTCAGCATATATTACGGATGTCGACTTTCAAATTCTTGATGAAATTGTAGAACGTTTGAAACTATTGTACAGTACATTATCCTCTTCTGAACTTCAAGAGTCACTTCGTGGTTTCCAGCTTAGAAAATCGATTATTATTCTATTTCGTAATATTGCCACTATTCCTCCCTCCTTTTCAATGGACTTTCATTTTCCGGGTAATTTTCCATGGTCAATCAAAATCGAATCGGGTCACTCAAGCTGCGGAGAATCCTTGTTGATCATACTCGTATGATGACTGATTGCTTCGTATTTTTAAAAACAGAGGTACCGTTTTTTCTTCTTCTTCTTCTTCGTCTTCTCTCTTCATTATGTTATTCCGTGTTGTTCGAATACGTGACGGAATGAAGACGCTTCTCGGGGAGCTTTTCCCACGGCGTTGTTTCCGGCCTCGACACGGTGTAGCGAGGTGACACTTGGATCGTGACCCGGGAGTGAGATAGGTACACGCGCGTCGAGGAAGAAGCCTTAATAGCCCCGGACTCAGTGTGGGACTGGGAATGGGTTTCTAGTCACGTTCCGTAGTACTCCTGGCCGTACATCGTGTACGTGTGGAAGTACTGTTTCACCGACAGGGACCCGCGGGAGTATGTCGTTTAGTTCGTAATTGACACCCGGGATGACGCCTAACCGCAGGGGTTGGGAACGTGTTTTTGAACCACCGACGGGGGGACCCCGCTCACGCACTCTCATCCTCCATGTTATCGTGTCTGTAAGTTCTGGAACTGATGCAAATAATTTTTAGAAGCATGTCGTTCCCAGAATTTTTTTTTCTTTTTCTGTCCCGGTTTTCCGAAGTTGAGAACGGACTTAATCCACGGTTTCGCCAAATTTTCTGAACACGAATCACATTGCGAGGATTATAATGAAAGCGATTACCGATGCTCGAATTTTTAAATTTTCGCTTCGTGAGAAAGTAGTTGCATCGAAATTTAGAATTTCACTTTTTTGGGCGAGTATCGCTAAGCTTGTGGAAAGTCCCACCCCCCATGTTCTTTGTGTGACGCGGCAGTATTTCAATTAATTAACCCTCCTGATGGGCGATGGTAATGCGGAAAAAGTTGTTCCACAAGAGAAAATTCTCATAGGTGAATGCAAGGCCAAGGTTGTGGTTGAATTGTAAAATCTTCGCGAAATGAGGCGTGCCTTTTTTGCATTTCCTGAAGGTTACGACATTGACGTTTCGAAGGCTTTCTTATGAAAGCGAGTTGAAAATTGCTGTACGTTCATTCTCAGCGGTTTTTTGTTGTTTTGTTCTTGTTGATTGCGGAATGAAGTTGACTTCGCAAATTGAGTGTCCATGAGAGCGCGGTAATTCAGCAACCTGGAAGCCGACAGACCGTGTGCAATTTGCTTCAAATCACGGTCGACCCCTTTTCCAGCATCTTATCGAGTTCTGACATTTACGATTCTGCTGGCTGTTGTTGATGTAAGGAAAGATTTATTGATGGAGCTCGAAATTTGTCGTCGCTTTCGTTCCACTGTTCCCACTTTTCGTCTTAAAATGTCGTCGTCGTAATTGCCGACGATCGATTTTTCATCCGCGCTTGATTTCTTCTGCCGGCTCGTTCGTCGGTATTCCGTGCCAATTAAACTTCTGTGTCCCCAAGAAGTGGGTGGAATGATGTAATTGTACGCGCTGGGACGGGCATTTGTCGAGAATCCGTGTTGCTGGTGCGAAGT